CGTCACTGAAGCAAGCAAGCCTCCCTGTTCGCATCAGCTGCCTGGCTGCCTGCCGCCATCTTGGCTGCCAGTTAATTTGCATATCTCGCTGATTAGCCAATGAAAAGGGTATCGGTCGTACGCCAATTACCATTTTTGTCTTTTATTAGATAGGATATGCAAAAAATGTTCTTTCTAGAAGTTAATATATTAACACGGAAAAAAAGAGGAATCAACCTAAATGTCCATCAACAAAGAACCAAATACTTAATAGCCAAAACTGAAAAACTAAGTAGCCATTCAAGAGAAAGATATATACCCACATTTATTGATTTACTGTGACCTAATCAGGAAAAGAAAAGCAAGGAAGCAAATTAAATGCTAGACAGGTCAATGGTTCCCAGTGGAGTAGAGAGGAATCTCAAGGGATAACTAATTGTTGACTTAGTTAAAGGTTAAATGGGTGCAATGAAGGCAAATCATTGTTGGAATAGTCATGAACAGATTAGAGAAAATTCTTTCCACAAAGTTCTAAGTTTCAGAAACTCGAAAATATAGTAATCATGTTAGAAATGGTCATAATCATTCAAAGTCCTTAATAAAGAAACTACTCTTTGGCTATAAATTTTTGACTCTGAAAGGGCATATTTCCAGGAGCCCATGTAATAAGCTCAAAAGAACAAATTCATATGCTGAATGCTTGTACATGAAGTTAACTCACATCAAAAAAGGAAACCATAAAATGTCATTTATAAAATAACAGATATTAAAACTTACATCTGGTGCAAAACACTCAATCTAAAAGTTATTCAAATGACACTGCTATTTTTAAAATCTATCTTAAGTTTACTAACCTTTCTGCAGATGACCACCCTGACATTTATGTATGTTCTGTGAGATATATATACCACAGATAACAGATCTTTGAAATTAACAGTAGGATCTGTGGTGGGAAAAAAGAAAAAGTTAAAATTAAATTCCAGAGATAACCAAAGAAAGAATTGTAGGTAATAGTTATATAAATGTTGAAATAATTGCTTCATCTTCATTTTATTTTTTGCTGTCAATAACAAATGCCTTTTTATTTTTTTCCAACTTTATTAAGATATCATTGACATGACACATTGTATAAATTTAAGGTATATAATGATTTGATGATATGTGTATATATTGTAAAATGATTATCACAATAAGGTTAACGTATTCATCAACTCAGTTACCTTTTTTTCTGTGTATGGTGAAAACATTCAAGATCTGCTCTTAGTAACTTTTAGGTACACAATATTGTTAACTATAGTTACCATGCTGTACATTAGATGCCCAGGACTTACTCATCTTATAACTAAAAGTTTATACACTTTGACCACTTTCACCCATATCTCCCCCCTGCCCCTCCCTCAGCCCTGGTAACTGCCATCTACTCTGATTCTATGAGCTAATTTTTTTGGATTTCACACATGAGATCAGACAGTATTTGTCCCCTGATTTATGTTACTTAGCAGAATACTCTCCAGATTCTTCCTTCCTTTTCATGGCTAATATTTACTGTGTATATTTATATAACATATCTTCTCTACCAATTCATCTGTCAATGGACACTTAAGATGTTTCCATGTCTTGGCTATTATGAATAATGATGCAATTAACATGGGGGTAAAGATTTCTTAGAGATAGTAATTTCATGTCTTTTTGATATATACCCAGAAGTGGGATTGCTAGGTCATAGAGTAGTTCTATTTTTAATTTTCTGAAGAACCTACATACCATTTACTACAATGGCTGTACCAATTTACATTAGCACCAATAGGTCACAAGGTTCTCTTTTCTCCACATCTACACCAGCACTCCTCTCTTGTCTTTTTGATAATTGCTATCCTAACAAGTATGAAGTGGTATCTGTGGCCTGATTTGCATTTCCCTGTTATTTAAGGATGTTGAGCACCTTTTCATGTTCCTGTTGGCCATTTGTACATCTTCTTTGGAAAAATAGCTATTCAGGTCCTTATGTTAATTTTTTAATTGGATTTTTTTGCTGTTGAGTTGTACAGTTTCCTTATATATTTTGAATATTAACCCTTCATCAGATTTTTACTTGCAAATATTTTCTCCCCCTCCGTGGGAGAAAATAATTTTGATGGTTTCTTTTGCTGTGCAGAAGCCTGTGTTGTAGTCTCACTTGCTTTGACATTTTTTGCTGGAACTTTTGATATCATACTCAAAATACCACTGTCAAGACCTATGATAAGAAACTTTTCCGTATGTTTTCTTTTAGCAGTTTTATGGCTCAGGTCTTACATTTAAATATTTAATCCACTTGGGCTAAATTTTGTGAATGGTATAAGATGAGGGTCCATTTTCATTCTTTTGTATGTGGATATTCAGTTTTGCTGACACCATTTATTGATGAAACTACCTTTTCCCCACTGAGTATTATTAGACACCTTGTCAAATATTAGTTGATCATATATGCATAGGTTTATTGTTTGTGTTCTTTGGTCTATGTGTCTGTTTTTATACCTGTAGCATACAGTTTTGATTATTATAGGTATGTTTAAATTTTACAAAGACAATAGTTTTAGAATGTTTGACATCTTCCTGAGTAAACTGTAAATAATAATTATTTTCTTTTGTTTGCCTGAACATACTGTCCATAATACTTGGGTCTTATACTATTACTTATATTTTTAAGTACATGTTTTGTCTTATCAGCAAGATGGTAAACCACTCAAGACAAAGACCTTATCTTACCTTTTGAACCCCCAGTATCTGATAATTTTACAGTTTTTAGTATGTACTAAAAAAAAAAAGTTTATAAAAAAAGGATTATCTGAAGTTTTAATTTTGCCTTTAACAATTTAAGCTCCCAAAAGAAAAAAGATAAAGTATTCTGTATATATTTTCTCTACTGTCCATTTCTTATTATAGAGACTCAATTATTTACTAATCAGTCAATCAACATTAAGGAAAGGCCTACCAAGTAAGGCACTGGGTTAGACCTAGGAAGAAAATAAGAAACAAAGGCACATAAGAAAACAGTACCCAAGGAAAGCCTTGCTGAATCAAATAACAGGTCATTTAAGCCCAGCCGGTATGGCTCAGTGGTTGAATGTCGACCTATGAACTGTAAGGTCGTGGATCGATTCCTAGTCAGGGCACATGCCCGGGTTGTGGGCTCGATACCTCCCAGTAAGGGGTGTGCAGGAGGCAGCCAATCGATTATCTCATTGATGCTTCTATCTCTCTCTCCCTTCCCCTCGCCACTCTGAAATCAATATTAACATATTAAAAAACAACAACAGGTAATTTAAAAAGCTGAGGAAGGAGGGAGAAAAACCTCGAGGGGGGGAGGGATGAGAACCATCAAATAGAATTATGCTACTATGAAGAATATTCCTTAAAAACAATCAGGATTGCCCTAGCTGGGTGGCTCAGCTGGTTGGAGCATTGTCTTGTACAGCAAAAGGTTTTGGGTTTGATCTTGGTCAGAGTACGTACAGAAGGCAACCAACCCCTTCCTCTCTCTCTAAAAAAATCAATGAAAACATATCCGCTGATGAGGATTAAAAAAATATATTTTAAAAATATCATCAGTACCATTACCCTTAGTCATACCTGTATTTATGATTTGATTGATGAGGTTTTTAATGAGAGAAGTACTAACAGGTGTTTCATTTAGAAGGAGTCCCAATCCTGAATAGCCAACTTCTCTGAGTCGAATACGTTGTTTACTTCGTTCATATACATTTGTACATTTCAACATTTGTTCCATAACCTGGTCACAATTGTAATAGAGTCTTCTTAATATAGAGAACTAAGAACAGTGTGTCACAGGTTAATATTGAATAAAATATTGAACATAATTGTATTTCTTAAGTATAATCTCCCCCCCCAAAAAAAACACACAGCACTAATAGAGAGGAGTGCTCCATCTCTTATCATCATTCAAAAATAATTGAAAAATAAATTGTACTAAGACACATCTGTGTTAGAATAATTAATATGTTTAAAATTCTAGTTTACATGTACTTCTTAGCAGATGAAAGGAATAATTTACATTTTCTTTTAATGGCTAAGGTATATATGGAAACAAACCCTGTAGCTTATAAGAGGAATAATAGTGTGTTCTCAAAGAGAACAAAGATCTTCTAGATTAGTCTAGTAATCCATTTATGTAGCAGTTATCAAAAATAATTTTAATAACAAAGAAACAGCTTGCAAAGCAACCTATCAACATGCTAAAATAGGTAATAAATCAGCAACCCCATACTTCTCAGAGTGAGATCAACATTTTTCAAAAAGAGAAACTGAAACCATACATGGAAAGGGTAATCTTGAAAATAATATCATGAAGAATCCTTCCTAGGCCATTTTTTTAAGAAATAACATTTAATCTCATCTCCACAAAGGAACATTTGTATGGGCAGATGCTTTAAAGAGTGGCTTCACGGGTAACCACAACCAATACGCAAGAGACCACTTTTTAATTTACCTTTGTTTTCTAAAGTTTAGGGATTTCAAACATAGGCAATCCAAATATGATCCATAAGGAGACTAAATCATGAAAAAAACAAAAGAATGTATTCAGCAACAGAAATATGGCTGCCTCTGCTTTTAGTTAATAAAAAAGGTGTAGTGGGTGGCTTCAGCCAAAGTTCAGAGTTTGGAATATTCTAGAGTGTTTAATAAAAATAGGTTCTATATTCTTCGACAAGACAAATTACAATTTTTTCTGCCTAAGTTTCTTCAACTGAAATGTGGGGATGAAAATAATACACACTTCATGAAGTTGTTGCAAGTGCCTGACAAATAGTGCTTATATAAGGTTAATTATGATCTGCCATGTAGACCCACCACAAGTGAAAATAGAGATGAGAGATTTTATATTGAGGATGGTATAACAAAGTACATTTTCCACTGAAATTATTGATAAGATTACAATATAATTAGTTTTTTTAATATGCAAAAACATGGAAAATATATATCAAAACAAATGTGACATTTATAATTAGAAGTAGATATAAAAAAAGATTTACATTCATAGAATGTATATATTCCAAGTAAATTCATATACCATAACTGTCCCAAAATATAAAGACATCTGAAAAATGTACCTTAAAAATGATTTCTCTTAGTCTGTCAGAGTACTTCTGATTTAAGAGCAAGGCATAAAGTATGTCAGCATTTCCTGGTTCAAACAGCAGTAAGAAAAGCTGACCTCTAGTTGGGCTGGTACGCAGGAGACTAAAGAGTATATCCAAAATTCCAAAGAGCTTTTAAAATCAAACAACACAAATCAAATGATCACACTCAGATATGGAAGCCAAACAAAATCATAAACCACAAACAGTTATTTAACTAAATCCTACATACCCTAATATTCTAGCTTAACTGAACTAACTGTCTGATGTCTTCTGAACCCTGCCTTTCACTCCATTATGCTTTTTGGTTTATTCCACTTCCTTTTGTATATCTTCTCAGTACCACATTTACCTGCTA